GGGGGCTTTCCATGACCCTGCAGGAAGATGGATCCATCGTCACTCTGGCAAAAGACCGCTTGGCTGCCCTCGCCGTAAGAGATGCCTCCGCCCTGGACGTGAAGCCAGCCGTCCTCACCGTGGAAGAAGCCGTAGTCCTCCTCGCTGGGACGTTCGTCGAGCTTGACCACCGCATACCCGTTGCTGAAGTCCAGATGCACGAACTTGTCGTCTACCCCGAGCTGTCCTCCCCATATCCAGAACCGGGCGGCGTCGGCCTTTGACTCGGTGAGATAGCCGTCGTTGCCGGTGAACGAAACGAAGCTGGGCGTGCTCTTGTGGTATTTTTGGTTAACTCCGAAGGACTGCAGATGGTACCAGGTGTTGTTGGCACTGTCGGACTCGAACGGCGAGCTTTCCCCTTGAGGGACAGCTGCTGAGATCGCCCCGGACGGGTACGACGACAGAGCGCCCAGAAGGCTGACCGCGAGGCCAGCGTTCAGGCTGAAGAGGACCATGATTCTTTTTTCACGGTCAAGTCTCTCTCTGTTTGATGTGATACTGTCCCAATGTCGAGAGTACTCAGGTCTGACTCAAGTAAACAAAGGACCCTTTGAGCGATTGTCGGAGGGGTCGAGACAGGAGGCAGGGAGGAGTGGGAAACAAAAACAAAAGAGCGTTGCGTTGTTGGGGGAAAGGAAAATAAAAAAACGATGTTAACGAGTGTAACGAACGACTGTTCTTAAGGATGATTAAGTATCCCGCAAAAACCCCCAGCCAACAATAAAGGAATGTCGTTGTGCACACACACACACACACAAAGTCGAATACTTTTTTTTTGGTTTAGAAGGAGGTTGGGCTGTGGTTAAGTAGTCTGTGCCAGCCATGAGCGGGCAGCATACAAGGCGCAATTTCCAAGAGGGCTCACTAGTTCAAATTGCCTATCGCGACCCGAGTATGTGGCCCAGATGGGGAACCGAGAGCAAAGGTCCAAGAGCTCATCTCACTCTGTGACTCGCCGAGCCGTCGCCGAGGGGCTGGAGGGCCACAACAAAAGAAGTCGAACCATTGAGAAGGAAGATCGTACGCGGAACTCACGCGACCGCAAATCAAACGCGGGCTCAGTGAGGGAATATCAAACGTGATCGCAATGCCCGATCCGGTAAGGCAATTTCATATAATTGTGGGGCCACTTGAGAAGGCTGGGCCCACGGCCGCTATTGGGGAGAGGGGCACCTGTATACCGAGAACCCCAGGTTTGATTTCGAATAGAGTTTGGATGCGGCTCACCACTTCCCACCCAAGGGCTGATTTGAGTCTTTGTGGGAACAGGTCCAATCATCCTGTGCTGGTCTCCATGTCGCCCTGTCGAATGATTTCGCAGGGACTTATCTAGAATGGGGTTTTTGGGTCAAACTCGTGGCCGCCATCGCGCGGAAATGTTTTCCTCCTCGTATTTCTTTTTGTTTCATCAGGACCAATGGTGTCATCCGCGCATATGAAGGGGTGACAAGTGCGCCGTGACCATAGGCACAGACACTTGATCGCTGAATGCGGCTTACGCGCAAGAGACATCAAGACTCCCCAGCCATCTCAGCAAGGCTGCACTCGTCTTCAGTAGTCAGTCGCGCGCCCTTGGAGATGGAGAGGTGTCAAGGCTAAGGATCCCTGCCACACGAAGCAGATCAGATCACTATCGTTAACCTTTTCTCTTTGGTCCCGAGAACGCCTCGCTCTGGGTCGACTCTCCTAGAAGGGTAAAGGATCACCGGCAAGAGTCGATCTCACTATTGGGAGCCACGCCTTGGGTTGGAGCTTGAGTCGTCCAGAGTCAATTGCTCGCGTGATGAGCTTCCCAAAACAAGGTCTTGGAAGGGACCGTCCAAGTCATGTTAGGGTTCCAGCCACGGGAATCACCACCCAAGCGTGCAGAAGCAACGCAGCACAGGCTGAACTCTCTCTTGGCACGGCTTGCCCTCGAGGAGGCGGGATCTACACGGATCGGCGCAGGTCATCACAAGCCACCACGCCATTCCCTCCGGTACGAAGAACTGCCTTTTCGATCTTGGCGGGCCGTTCCGTTGTTTGCGGACCTGCCGCGCCACCCAAAACGTAGACACATATGCTGTGTAACAAAGGGAGAATTTCTGAGCGACAACGACATAATCACCGACATTCATCCTCGGGGCTTTGTCCTCATGTCTTCAACGTCTCGTGACTTTGGGGAAGGGAAAACGTGTAGAGACTGCTCTGGTATCTATCTATTCCTTCCGGGTGTCGCAAATGGTCATGGTCTGGCGAGGCTGGTTGGCTCAGCACAGGCTCAGAGATCTTGTCTTGTGCTCTTGCGCAAAGTTTGGTCGCCTCGATCTTGCCGCACTTCCTGCCGTGTGCCCATCTAAGCCTAGTCCCTTTGCTTTTCTTCAGCCATTCCCTTTTTTAACAAGCAGTCCAAAACTCTTGCGACGAACACACCATTTGGCTTGTCTAGATTGCTCTCGAAGATCGCTGCATCCATTGCGCGGCACGAACGGTTGGCGACGATAGTTTGAGCAGCCAAACTTAACAGCCTCGGCTGGGAAAACTTTACTCAGTCATGCGGTGAAATAGACTGTAGGTTCAGCCTCTCACATGTCCAAGTACCGATGGTCAGTCCGAGAGCACGCGACCATGTTGATTGTTATCATTATCAGAATTCACTTCATACCTGTTCCACATGGAGCCCAACGACCAAGATACGACCAAGACTGGAAGATCACGCCAGCGGCTCCAACATTTCACGTCAAGACCCTGTTTTTTTCGTGAACAAATCTGCCATCTGCCCCTCTAATCACCTGCCCCTGACCTGTAACAACTAGAGTCCAACCACCTGCATTCTCGTGAAGATCCTTGCAGCTTGAAGTTATGTCTCAGTTCATCAAACATGGTACAGTCCCACCAGCTTTTTCGACTGCCTTGAGCAAACACGGTTGGTCTTCCACGAGGAGGCGCAGACGCAAATCAGGACACCAAGTGGTTCGAGGAAGCTGCGGATCAAATCTTGATGACCAAAGGCAATCTGCATCGTTGTCGTCGCCGTGAGATCGACGAGTTTCCGAGTTTGCTCGCAATCTTCGTGTAGGTCTCCGGCTCTGGTTCAAACCAATCGTTGACTTTGTCGATGATCTTATCGAAGGAAACAACATGGGGAGCCTGACAGCTGAAGAACTGACAATAGCTCAACGGTGAGTGATTATTGCAATTCAAGGAGCCCCAAGTCCCATAACAGCGCAGTGTGCCGAAGAATCCCAATACGTGGGCTCCGCAGTCAAACCAAGACAGGATCCCAGCTTCTCAGATGCCGTGAAAAGTGGCACAGAAGGGCTTGAGAAGAGGCACTGAATTGGGACCCAGTTTGGCAAGACGAGGTCAACATTGCATCCCGCTGCGCTTATTTTCCAGTCTCCGCTATACCCATCGGCTCGATGCACGGCATGTCTCGAATCTCTTTTTCATTTCTCAGTGTGCTCGGACGTATCCAGATTCTTTGCTTCTCTAGGCTCTCTCCACTCAAGTCATGTCTCTTCGGGATGTGATTTCGGATCTTCCATGCGAGCAGATACCAAACTGGGTGACTCGATTGATGTTTTGTTGCTGCCATCAATCTCAAATCGGACGTCTACACCATTCCACGGTCTGAGGTCCGAGCAGGAGCCAAGCACAGACACTCCATCTCAACGCTAGTCTGGGACAAGATGATCACTCTCCAAGGAGAATCACAATGCTATACAGTCCGGACAAGTCCGCCAGGGAGTGGGTGTTGTTCCTACCCATAGCGCAGGCCAGGCTGGCAAGGGTGAAGTAGGGACGATAGTCGCCCGGCCATGCTTAGCGCTGCTGAGACATCGAAGTGAGGTTAGTGGGTGCTTGGACAAACAGAAGATGGTGAAGGTGAGAAACAGAAAGGCAAGGCCAGTGACTTGTTGACGACTAGCAACAGACGCTGAAAGTCTCAATCAAGACAGATTTATACGAGCTTCACGGGCAGTCGCTGTCTGCGGTGAGTATTTCGAGGCTGGACTTCCGAGCACTCTAGGAAAAAACCACAGGAGCTGAGGGAAGAAGGGCGACAATTTGAGAGACTACAGGTAGGAGCGAAGCCCGCGAAAGCAGTCCTTGAAAATTCCCTAATATGCTCTGCCGAGCGGTGGGAGGAGGGTTCCTTTGGGCACCGATGAGGACCTTTGGGGACAGTTTTGAGGGAATATGGAGCTAGAGACAACACAGAAGAGCAGAATCTGGGTGGTTCGCCAGCTATTTCGAGCAAACAGAGGATGTTGAGGGGTTTAAAGTGACGACATCTCTCAGAGCGAGCACTTGGGAGGCCTGCAGCTTCGGCGACTTTCTGCAGTCTATCCTTCGAGTATCAATGCCCCACGAATGCAACGTGCAAAAGTAGGGGGATCAGGTCGCCGGCAAAGCAGGATGGGGAGCTCAACGCTGGAGCGTCTTCGAAAGACAAACTTCGATGCTGATTCATGATATTGAAGTGGTGGTGCGGCAAGGGCAAATGCCGATGACTCAATACAAGTCCATTGGCATGGGTTTGCTGCTGTGCTGGAGTCTCAATATGCTGATGTCTCGGCCGATGTTAGTGCAGGTGCAGCACGTCGACGTTGGTTGGGTAGGATTGTTCGAAGGGGCAGGGATGAAGATGAGGCGCAGGCAGATCAGGCAAACATGGACAAAATGTACCAATCCCCAGCCTCACATCACGTGATTCAGCTACTAGCCCAATTGCAACTCGACTCAGCCTCAAGCAACGTCTCGATGGTTTGTCAGTGACCCGTACCGATACTTTGTATCTACAGTCAATTGCAACTTTTTTTCCTCTTAATGTCTGCCAATATATAGCCGCTCTCAGACCAACTCTACCATCCTCCACCAGCCACAAAGCCTCCACTTCTCTCTCATAACGAACGGGATCTCCTTCTCAACGTTGACCGTGGGCTGATCTCCAGCGGAGTTTGTGTGGGGGTGTTATGGGTCCCAAGAAAGAGAAGAGCAGTCTGAAGCGGAATCGGGTGAGGATATAACGTGGTCTTCTGTCGCCGTCGCATCTGACTGTCAAACAGCATAGCACCGGTGAAGACCAGGAGATCAAGAAACCGCGGAGATCCCAACGGCTCTCTTCGCAGTCTCAACAAGATCCCCAGCACACACCTCTCAAGAACCAATATCTGCCTTCTCCTCTGACGTACCAGGAGTCTACTGCCACCGAAACATTCAAGGAACACACTGCTACTCCTCCGGAAGGCCGACCGAGTCAGATCCGTCATGTCACGCCTGCAGCGTCGCCACCACTTCTTCCACAATCCTCACCTCCTCAAGACACTCAGTCTCTATCCCAGTTCGTCTATCCTCCGCGAGATATCGAGCCTGACTTGAATGATGAGGATGGAACATGGGGTTACCTGTTTCCGATGACCGAAAATGGACACAGACTGCAGATGAAGCGACGAGCTTTTTGTCCTGCTCCCTCGAAGCCACTCGAGGTGTCGAGGTCTACTGTTAAGAGTAGAAGGCGAGGGAAAAAGGAATTAATAGAGGCTGAGGCAGAATATGAGAACGAGAAAACGGACAAAGGGTTCCCGGCGAGTGGATATCTGATCGGGAGACACCCAGAATGTGACATGATCCTTGACATTCCAACCGTGTCGAATCGCCATTGCCTGCTCTTCAACGAAACACGGAATGGCGATGCGGTCGCTATTCTCGAAGACTTGTCCAGCAATGGTACATTTGTCAACGAGGCATTCTTGGGTCGGAACAAGCGAAGACAGCTGGAGGACGGGGACGAAATCACCATCTTAGATGAGGCTCGATTCGTCTTTCGCTACCCCAGAAGTCGAGACTCGAGTGCGTTCAATTCGCGTTACCGAATTCTACAACAGCTGGGGAAAGGTCATTTTGCCACTGTCTACCTCTGTGTGGAAAGATCAACAGGCTTCAAATTCGCTGTCAAGAAGTTCGAGCGTCGCATGGGGGAGTCCCAACGCTCACAGACGGAAGGTTTAGAACAAGAAATCGCTGTTCTGATGAGCGTCAGCCATCCCAATGTCCTTTGCTTGAAAGAGACGTTTGATGAACCTGACGGAGTTTACCTGATCCTGGAGCTTGCGCCCGAAGGCGAGCTGTTCAACTTGATTGTGACGAAACAGAAGTTGACCGAGGCCGAGACCAGGAAAATCTTCATCCAGTTGTTCCAGGGGACTAAGTATCTACATGAACGGAATATTGTGCATCGCGACATCAAACCAGAGAATATTTTACTGACGGACAAGAATTTGTCGGTCAAGTTGGCAGATTTCGGCCTGGCTAAGATCATTGGCGAGGAGTCCTTCACCACTACATTATGTGGTACACCGAGTTGTAAGTGCTGGCCTGATCTTCTTGAACTGCTGTGGCTAATAGTGGACAGATGTTGCCCCTGAAATATTGGAGAATACCCGCCATCGAAAGTATACTAAAGCGGTGGATGTTTGGTCACTTGGTGTGGTCTTGTATATCTGCCTATGCGGATTTCCACCCTTTTCCGACGAGCTCTACTCTCGAGAGAATCCATACACCCTAGCTCAACAGATCAAAATGGGGCGGTTTGACTATCCATCACCGTATTGGGACTCGATCGGCGACCCTGCCCTCGACCTCATTGACCGCATGCTCACGGTCGATGTGGAGAAGCGAATTACCATCGATCAGTGCCTGGAACATCCTTGGACAAGGAATCTGGGCTACATCAACCCTGCCGATTCGCTTGATGGCCTCACCGGGCAAATGAGTGCATTTGACTTTTCCAAACGGAAAATCCAACGGGAACGCACTTTGCTAGCCAACATCAACGACGTCAAAGTGAGCAAAGTAGTTGATCTCAATGGAGGGCAACAGATCCAAGGTGTGCCGACCGAAATTCCTGGTTCGCCAGCGCATGTGAAGATATGGGACAAGAACCCTAGCGGGAAAAATGTACGGATGAGCCCACCCAAGGACAACAAGGGAAAGAATGAAAACGGCGACGAGGGAGGTGTCGAGAACAAGCAGGAGGTGGACAAAAGGGAGGAACACCCTGCGGCGAACAGGCAGGAAGAGGAGTTTATGCAAATGGGCGGCAAAGGCGACATGCGTTTGTTCGGGAATGACGCCTCCTCGAGGTACTTGCCGGAGGAGGTGCCCAAGACCAAGAAAAAGTGAACTGGGAGAGCGTGATCATCACGTATTGACAAGCTTGTCAGCCTGCATCGATTGGGATTTGTTGACATGATTGTTCGATCGTTCGGCTTGGGGGTTTGATTGGATGCTTTTCGACTTGATTGTGTGGGTTTGTTTTCGGTCCTCAAGTCTGGTGCCTTTTCTGGAAACTCTCCAACGAAAGAACGCAAGATATTCGGATCCGGACAGGCTAACAGTATCGAACACGAAGCGAAACGAGGCGAAGTGACACGACATGAAATGAAGTAACCGATGCTGAAAATATTGGAAACCTCGTTTTTCTGTTGGACCATGGTACACGGCGCCGACATGGCTCAGTGGGCGGGGTATTGTGCATGCTGTACATGTTTCCATCCTGGGCGCGTGTGCGGAGGGGGGTTTCTATGGATACGACGGTACGGGCTCGAGTGATGAATGGGTTGTCCTCATGCATGTGCGTGCGTGTGTATATTCCCCAAAGCAAAGCCGGGGACCAAAAGTTTTTTTGTGTGATCGGCAACTGGTTGGGTATTGGGCTTTCAGGGTATGGTTACCGGGTAGGAGGATATGGAGTATCATCATGACAAGGCGTTGAGGTGGTTGATGAGAAGAGGCGCTCGTTATAAGTGTGGTGTGCAGTTGTGCAGCTAGCTGTGTCACGGGCATGGATGGATATTGCCAATCAATCATTAATATTCAAGATCAAAGAGTGAGCTCCAAGCGTCGAGTATTGAGTATCGAGTATCAACTATCATGTTCAAATGCCGGGTATCAAATATCAAGTGTCGACCGTCGAGTATCGAGTGTCGAATGCTGAGTCTGAGTGTCGAGTTGTTGGGAAAATTATAAAATCATAAAATAACAAATAAAATTAACTTCCTCAGCCTCAACACCACAAATTCACTGTTGCACTATTACCACCACCACCACTGCCGCCGCCGTCACACGGAGGGAATCTTCAATGCGGGAGGGATGTCTCGAATAAAGAAATGGACGAGGTATATATTGTATGTGCACGTCGTCGTGACGGTGGTGGTGGTGGCGGGGGTGATGGTGTGTTCTGGACACAAGAAGCACCAGTACATACATACCTAGGTTCCGAGCACATAGGACATACTGTAGATATAATCAGTCAGTCAGTCAGCCAGTCATTCATTTAGCATGTCACGTACCTTCATACCTACATACCTATATACTCTCCACACCCACCTACCTAGGTGGTTAGTTGTATCATTGCACTTGGGCATGAACTTGAGCGTGAATACGCACTTACCCGTAGCACATAATCGTAGCACATACCACGTACCATGTACCGAGTACGAGTACACACAACATCAGAGACACAGACGCAAAGACGCAAAGACCGACCACCAAGGTACATGCAGATACCTGACAGGCGTCTACAGGCTAGAGTCAGTAGATACCGCGGCCCGGGATACACATGTAGGTATATACTGTACCTACGTATCGGGGTCGGTAGGTCGGTAATTATGTAGATAGGTACATATGTGGCACGGAGAACGTGTTTGGCAATAACTTAGGAGCATTCCTCGATATGGTATGGACCCCTAGACACGACAGGATAGGCGCACGGATACAGATGGACACAGACAGAGGGCCAATTATCACGATCAGAAATCCACCTCAAACAAAGACGGTTGTCTCATCTCATCGTTTACAAGGATCCCATTTCATGTACTCCTATATCACTCGTCCAGTGCCCACACTGGATCTCATGTTCGGGAGCCATACGCCATGTTCTAATGATTCTCACTCTCATACCCGAGTAAGGATAAAAAAGGGTCGGTAGGTTACAAATACCATAATACCGCGACTCTAACAGCACTTTTGCTTCGTCTCCCAGCGACGATGATGACAACTACCAACCATCAAGGCACCTTGTTCCGCGGCCACCAGTCCTGCTGGTGTTGCTGCTGGCGATGCTGTTGCCTCCTCAGCCGCCGTTCAATATCCCGGGCCAGTTTGACCGAGGGCACATCGACAGATCGCCAGAACACGTCGGCAACGCAGAGGAAAAACGGCAGCATCATGAGGTAGCCAAACAACCAGATAAACACAAACTGGGCAAGCGACGTGTCCTCGCGGACGTACGCGCCCGTGAGAGACCGCAGTCTGCCGATGACCACGTACCCCAGCGAGCGGATGAGCATGCCGTGCGTGAGGTACAGGGCAAAGGATATCCGGCCCAGATACTGGGCGACTTTGTTGAGGAAGATGGGCGAGGCAATGTCAGAATTGACGCACGCCCATGTCGTGACGACCGCGCCAAATAGACGGATAAGCCTGTTCTTGTCGGCGATGTATGCCGGGAGCAGACGAGCCAGATGCACATATGGTGGGATTGTGACGGGCTCGAGGAGCGGAATGGAGAGAATATACAGGCCGAAGACGAAGCAAAGACCCCAAGCAGCCGATGCCACATCCTGATGCTGAAGCCATCCGAAGATCTTGTAAGGCGACGGCGCTGACGATGCTGACAGCGACTGATGTCCGAGGATGGGGCCCTGTCTTTGCGACTGGCCTGGACGTCCAAGATGCTTCCGCATCAGATCAAGCTCAGCGATAATCATGCCCCCAACAAACAGACAGATGCTACGATATTCCTGCACGGCACAAAACCCTGCGAGAACGCTGTGAAAGAAGAGCCGCCATCCGCTGGTGAGCATCGAGGTTCCCATCATGAGGATGAAAATCGCCAAACTCGACTTCAGCTCAACGGGAATGGTCCAGATATGTGCGTCGTAGACAAAGTAATCATGCTGGCTAGGCTCCCCGGGCACCGAGCCTTTGGCGAGCATGTAGAATTCAGTCACCACATCTGAAACCTGTGCCGCAAAGGTCTCGGACAAGGGTGGAGGGTCTTCGCGCATTAGACGTGGCCGTGGATTGTCCGCGAAGAGACCATCCTCGATCATTTGAGTGACGTTGTTCCTTGCGTCAAACGCCTCCATTTGCGCGGTGTTGATGTCGTTGAAGACGTACCTGGCAGGTTCGAAGGCTCGCAGCTGGGTCAGAGTCGCAATCATGACCACGGCCGCCATGGTGGGAAGCATGAGGCGGAATGCTCGGCGGAAGACCGACGAGGCAATGCATTCGTACATCATTTGAGGGCCAGACGAGTACAACAGGCCCAGGGGTTTGTAGGAGAGGACATAGCCCGAGATGACGAAGAACAGGTTCACCATGGCCTCTCCAGCCCACGAGAGCATGACAAAAGGCATCCACATGAAGCCAGTCGCGAGTTTGGGCATAGCATATGGTCGCCAAGGATCATCGACGGCACAGGTCCAATGCTCGTGCAAGACAATGAGACAGGCGATTCCTCGAAGGCCATCCAGGGCAGAAATCTTGTCGGCCGGAGTCGAGGTTGATGCCTTTACGGATTTGGACCTCGAGGCAAAGCTCGGGGTCAGCCATAGCAGAAGTCTGTGCACCGCCGTGGTAAACGATTGAGCTACATAAACCGGACAGAGGTTAGTACTCGACCGGCCCTATACGAGATACAACAAGCCTGATCTTACCAACATTTCTGAGGACTGCAAAATTTGAGCGTTCGTTGTGCATGGATCGAGCATTTGAAAAGCTCTCGCCGCCACCTTCAGTCATGATATCGGCGAGGAGCGTCTCGAGACCATACGAGTACTTCTGAAGTCGTCAGCGAGTATTGGGTAAGTAAGAGTAAAACTAGTATAGCGTGGGGGAAGGATGGCGTCCCACATGCCCCTGAACTGCTTGCTTGGTGCTCGGACCTTTCTTGGCCGGAGGAGGAATCGAGAATGATCATGATGAGCAAGAGAGGTGGAGTTTCAAGTCCCCTCCTCTTTCCAATCCATCGTGTCCATGATTGATGACTGATGACTGACGACTGACTATCAAAAGTTGCAAGGATTGGCCACGGCTTCCGTAACTATTGCTCAATGCTGACGCCGTATCTCTCTGTGCCATGACCATTCTGGCATGATCGTCAGGTACCCGGACGGAGCGCCGCGGATGGGGACTGGCCCTGCCTACCTGGTGTGTCTGGAGAGAGAATGTGACTGCCAATCGTTTGTGGGATTTGATACACGGCCTCGACGGGCATGAACCCACTTTGGAAGGCACGATCGATGCATGTGACAGACTGACAGTCCGAAACTGATGTCATGAAGCGTTCTCAATCCTAATGCCACCTGGAGTTTCTAATAATAATATACGAGATACTCACTTTCACCAGTAGGATAGCCATGTCCTTATTTCAACACATCTTGGCTGTCGACTCGTACCAGTAAAGAGTAATTCCTGACACTGGGGGCCAGTTCAAGTCCAGAACAGAAGAAACGATTTAAGCCTGTTTGAACTCTAGACTTTTGGTGGCGGTTGCCATGTCGCCATAATTTAGTGGCTGATGGAAGATTTCATACCCGGTAAACCTGCCCAGTTAGAAAGCCCCTGAAAAATACTCAATACATGTATTCGTACTGGTACATACACCACCTGTTCTTCCCTTGACTCCGTACCTTCCATGATACAAGAGACCCGCTTCTTCGATCCGAAATTGCAAACGCCCACACCCTCCAGCTCGCCTAGCAAAAGCCCCTAATCCCCCCCCAAAAGAATGTCTTGCAAGGGACTCTGGTCAGTTTGACGCTCAAGACCCAAGAATGGCTGGCTCCATGTCTCCACGGATGACATGCACGACTGTTTGTCCTCTGTAGTCGTCGTAGTAGCTCGGGCCTTATCGCGTCGTCCATATCTCAACAGATCCGCTGGCGGATCTCACTACCTCCCCCGTAACTGGCTCTTCGCGGCGGTGGGCTGTCACGCTGTCAAACTCACCTCAGGGGGGAAAAAGGCGCCTCGAGTGGCATTATTTGCCTTTGTGTTTATCCCACCATGTCCTGAATATTGAATATTTGACATTGGACGACTACTCCTCTTAGTTCTTCCCCATACTTACCATGCTGCGAATATGAGGTCGAAGTCACGGACCTGGTCGACTGTCACTTTCTCGATATGCAATCCACCACCTCTTCGGTCAAGATGAAGCTCGAAACCCTGCAGCAGTATGCGATGCCTGGGAAGATCCCGTGGACAAGTCGCAAAGTCAGAATCATTGCAGTCTTGTGCGGGATACTGTGTCTACGCTTCTTCCTGGGGGCACTCGACGTAAAACCCCTCCAGGTATGCGGCATACAACCAACAAGGTGGCCCATGTTCTCTGGCTAACTCTTACGCTACAGACTCGATTGCCTCATGCGCTCCGACAGCAGACCTACCTTGATCAGAACGGCTTTCAGTCGATCCCCATAACCGGCTTCGTCAACACCGGAGACCTCGCAAGTCGCACATGCGAAGACCTCAGACATGAAGGAGAACTACAGGTGCACACGAGCTTGTACCTCGAAGATGACTTGGAGCACATTGCACGATCGCTGGCCGGCCACCCAATGATCGACTATTCCCAGCAAGAGAAGGGCTTGACATTCCGCCATCTGGTGGCCAAAACCTGGGCGAGGTTATCTGGGTCGAGTGTGTGGATCGAGAAGTTCCAGGTCTTCTTGACCGTCACCAGAGTCATCTTCTACGACAACGGGCTCCGACACAAGCCTGTCATTAGTTTTCTGGCGGGCCAACTCCACGACGAAAACTGGAACGAGTTGAAGAACTACACCATCCAGTGGCAGAGTGAAGAGATCAGATTCCCCACCGTCTTCAACATCCCGGCCCCCTTCAAGCAGGGTGACCGGTATTTTGGCCCTGAAGACCCCCGTGTGATTCTCGAGGAGGGGGTGGATGATGCTGAGCCCATTGTAACCTTCAACATGCTCTATGACCTCAAAACCGGAGACCGCGCCATGTACATCTTCCGGCCCTTTTCCAACGACACCACCGTCCTGACCATCACGGGCCAGACCGAGAGGGCGCACGCGGAAAAGAACTGGGCGCCCTTCTTCATCAACGAGCACGAGCCCATCTCGCCAGGACACTACAAGTGGCCCAGCCACTATATCCATTTCATCTACGACTTCAACCCGCTGAGGGTACTCAAATGCCACACCCTCAACGGCTGGTGCCATTTTGTCTACGAGCAGAAAGTTCCCGATGCGCTGAAAGGATCGGGCCTCAATGCGAACGGGCGCATGACGGGCGGGACAAACATGGTGCCGCTGCAGCTGGAAACACGCTCCAACCTCCACGCGTGGGTCGGCTTCCCCAGGTCTCACATCAACATCGGGTGCACCGACGACTTGGCCATGTACCGGCCCGAGCTGATGATCATGACGGCGCACGGCGACCACTTCTACCTCAGCTTCATGTCCGGGCCCATCGACTTTGGCACGGCGGCCATGACGCCCGAGGCTATTGGTGATCCGTGCGGCGAGGGCAAGATCGTCATCGCCAACAGTATCGCCAGGTGGGATCGTCGGCCCAAGCACGACGTCCTGACACTGACCCTCTCGGTGGCCGATTCGACCGTCCAGATCATGCAGCTGGCGAGTCTCTCCAAGTTCGTCAGCCAGCTGCCCCACGTCGCCCATTTAGACGGCGTCTTCCTCGCCGACATGTCCACCCGGAACAAGACCGAGTGGGATCTACGGTACACGGCCGTCAGCAAAGACGTCCTCGACTGTACCATGGAGGTGGCCTCGTACTACTCGGAGATCATCGCCGCTCCCTTCAAGGGATTGTCCAAGGAAGAGCTCTCGTACGAAAACGGCAAATGGGACTGGAAGGCCGGAGCAGTCATATGAGGGGACACGAGAAATTGACAGAATATCGTGTTCTTTGCTGGCCCTTGAAAGTTTGGTCAATGCCCCTCAGAAGGAATGACAGACGGCAATATTGACTCGCAAATCCCACCGACTGAATACATGGAGAAACGACCACACACACGCCAACATACACGAAAACACACACTCTCCCGGACAAGTCATATGCGACTGTCCCGGTATTTGTGTGTATAGAGAGAAACACCACGGGCCGGAAACCACGGGGGTTTTCGACAACAATAATCTTTTCCCCACATTTTCCACCTTTCATTTCGGTGGTTCTCCAATGCCCAAAGGGGCTACAACCAAGAAATAAGAGTGTCCCTCGGGCATCATGGCTCACGCGCCCGAGGAGGGCAGTGTCGAGGGCTCAAGAATAATGTCATGTTTATTTTTTACTTATTTTTCCCCCCATGATGAAGGCAGGCAGCGATTTTCTAATGACAGGAATCAAATCTAGATGGCGGGCTTTTCCTGGTTTACGGGGCTGATATCCATCATGACATATATTATATCTAGAAGACTGGCGCGTGAAGAAGCCGACAGGGGAGGGAGGATGAATTTTGATTATATCCCTTCTGAAGGGGTTCCAGCTCATGTACCTACGAAATATGTATGTATGAAGGTACACAAGTACGACAGATAGATACCTAGCTGGATAGGAAAGGGCAGATCGAAGCCCAGTCGTGAAGACGGCCAAGATGGTCTGTCTGAGCTATTTGCTTTACTGTCTGTGTCTCATGTCTTTTCCTCCCCTGAATATTTGTGGGAGCAGTAAACCAGTTACTATGAATTCAAGAGGCATAGAAGGACAGAATCACACCTGTGAAAATGAAAGGAGTCCTACTTAGAAGCTGTTGACAAACGAGGCAACTTCTGTTCCTGCAACAACGACACGGAATAGGTGATTGCGAGATCGAACCCAAAAGATCCGAAGGAGAAGAGGAGGGAACACAGAAGACTAGAATATTTTCATCATGTCCGACGAACGACATGAGAAATTTCACCCGACATCCCGTCTGTCCTCTTCTATATACCCGAGTGCAGGCCACATACATACACAATCTGTCTCTATATGGAGATTATTTCTCAAGGAAACTCCTCAACACCTCAACACCCAAACACCCAAACACCCTTCGAAAGAGGCTCCAACATGACATGGTAAAAACCCGAAAGATCAAAGACCAAAGATCCCGTGTCTGAAAGCCCTATCCCAGGCCTAGACTCAATCCAACCCAAACATGAAACCCAAATCTAACACGCTCATATTTTCTGAAGCCAACAAAAAAAAAGGCTCAATCATCCAATCAAGAGAAGGTCAATTATTCATCTCTATCTTCTTTCTCGTCCAGGCGTAGCGGATGTGCTCGGCCTCGGTGACGATGGACTGCAGGCGCTCGAGGAACTCGCGGCTCAGGGGCCGCCAGCGCGATTCGTCGTGCTGGGGACAGCCGCGGGCGTCTTCGGTCCAATCGCGCCAGTTCCAGGAGGCTTGGGTGGCGAGGACTTGGGTCTCGTTGGCGGGTTGGGCGAGGGTGGCGTTGGAGACACGGTTCCGGTCGCCGTCGCCGTCACCGTCACCCTCGAGATCGGGATCGAGGTCCAGCTCGAGAGGCACCTGGGTCAGGTTCGCGGCGGCGGTGGTGCGGATGGTCTGGTCGATCGGGTCGCCCAGGTACCAGTGGGTCCAGTTGGCGAAGCCGAGCGACTTGTCCTCCTTGTTCTGCCAGATGCCCATGTTTGTCCAAAAGGGCTCGTCATCGTCGGCGTCCGAGTGCACCATGTGCGGCGAGCAGATGCGCGGCGTCTTGAACACGACGGCCTCGGACGTGCTCAGGGCCTCGGAGAAGCGGGCCGCGTACCACGGCTCAAAGGCGTAGGGCACCCCCGTCAGCTCCGCCGCCAGCCAGTACGACTCCTTGTCCCCCCAGAAGGTGTCCCAGGTGATGGCGTCGCGGACGTCCTGCACGTTCATCCACGCCGCGAACAGCGCCGTCACGTACAGCTCCGGCCGCGACTTGTCAAAGTAGACGACGGCCGAGTCGGCCTCCTCGCCAATGTACCCCTTGTAGAAGAGCGAGCTGCTGTTGAGCCGCTGCGACGGCTGCCGCCCCGCGCGCACGAGCTGCTCCGCCACGAACCGCCGCCGGTTCTCGCTGTGGTCCATCGTCACGGCACGGTCGTGGAAGAACAGCGTCCCCGTCTCCTGCAGGCCCTCGTAGTCGGTCCACGCCCGCTCCGGGTTCGAGAAGAACACGGCGTCGGCGTCGACGAGGATCGTCCGTGGGAATTTACTGGCGATCAGGGCGAACGGTTTGGTCGCCCACCCTTTGAGCCCGATGAGCGAGTTGTCAAAGATCTTGGTGAGGTCGAGGAATTGTATGTCCTTGCTGGTCGCGCGGAGGAATGTCCGCGTGTGCGGCGACAGGTCTGAGTCGCCGGCGTAGGCGATCTCGATGGGCAGTTCGTTCTTGAGCACCTTTTTCAGGTTGGTGATCAGGAAGAGGGCGTCTTCGACGTTGCCGTCGCCAACGCAGACGACGATCCCCGTCTTCAGCTCCGGCTTCTTCTTGTCCTTGGACCAGGGTTTCGCCTGTTTGCTGGACGAGTGTTTCCACGGCACATAGGCCAATTTGTCCTCGTTCCACCAAGGGAAGAGATGGACCAGGGAATCCTTCAGACGGCTGCGATCGAGCGTCTGTTCCCGCATGTAGAGCCCCGCGAGCTGCGACAGAGCCGCCACTTGGTTGGCAACCGAGGCGAAGTCCGGCAGCGCGACATCGAGGGGGTACTCGGCCACGTAGGTGTGCAGGTCGGTGACGAGGCGCTCGGTCTTGTGTTGTTCGACGACGACATAGCGGAAATAGACGAGCGTGAGCAACGGCAACAAAAGAAGCAAAAGGATGCTGGACGACGGCCTTTTGCGTACCGTGCCCGTCAGCATCGCAAACATGGTTGGGGGGTTTGGTGGCCGGCCAGACGGACGTTGGGGGGCAACGTCACTCACACTCACGTGTGCGCGGCGCAGACAAGACGACGACGATCGGTCACTGGAAGACTTGAAGCTTGAGCCATGTATATGTACACGAGTATGAGTGTGGTGTGAGTGTGAGTAGAAAGGATGTTTGAACGTGGGGGCTCTTTTTTTTGCCTTGGAGGTGTGGTGTGTGGTACTACTCGTAAACACCATCCCCCCCTCCCCATTATTCACTTTTCTCCCAGACACGGCGACCACCAGCAAAGGAGTTCGACAAGGGACTGGACTTGGGACGGCTAGGTGGGACCTGTGGTGCTGGTGTGAATGAGTTCCGAAGCGCCAGGACCCAGCGGTCCCCCCCATTTGGATCTGATCGAATATCAGGGGGGAGGAAAAGGCAAAAAGACTCCCGTTAGTCTAGCGAAGTCCAAAAAGTGGGCAAGGCGCCACGGTTTCCGAAAGCAGCTCGGAACTTTACCCAATGGTAACAACATGAGAGACAAGGAGGAGGGGCCTGAAGACGTTCCAGCAACCCAAGACGTGTTTTTGCTTTTCACACAAAACAAAAGATCTTTTGGACTAAGGCAAGCGCGTTAAGGGGCCAAGACATGATCCAATATCGTCCTCTTGGAGCCGTTTTGCTCACCTTGTCTCCATCCAGAAAGGCAACAGACCTTTCCAAACTCAGACCCATGCCAGCCGTAATCTGTAATCTTGCTCAGATATCTACTCGTACCCCATTTCTGGACAGGTCCCCAGTTGGGTTGATGCGGTGTGCGTTCTCTTTCTTTTTCGCGGCTGGGGTGACAATGTACTCGGAGTAAAACGGAACAGATCTAACCTCTTTCGGATGTCGGATCCAATAATGTGGGTCCTTCGTCAGGGGACGCTTCTGCAGGTACAGCATGGTCTGGAACTTGGCTGCATCAGACACCTGGTGCAGAAGAAAATCTGTTTGATTGACTGACTGATCGTCGTCTCATCCATGCTCTAAGTGAGTGACCTTATCGCTGGGTGCTCTGGAGGCAACACAGAGGTTGATCATGGCGTAATGCCGCAGTCAGACACAACTCTGTCCCTGAATCCCTGGGATGATTGTGATTGTTCTCCCAAAGCAGAAGGCTCTTGTGCCGTAAGAATAGCCCAAGCAAGCCAAAGGCGTACGTTAGTCAATAGGGCTGCAGATGGATTTCTCAGGAGTGCAGTTCCTGGTCGCCAATCAACGTCCCTGGACTGTTTCTTGGGAGGGCAAGTAACGAGTAGTAGGGCATGGGTTGAGGATGAGACAACACTCCAGGTCTGGGCTCTCTTCGGCATCATCGGGCTCCTCCTGACCGACACCGCAGAATCTCGCCTCAGGCCCCAGGGCCGTTTGGCAACACGAGTAACTTACCCTCGCCGTGGCTGGCTGGGCTGGAATTTTGAGGCTAGGGGTAAACACCGCTGCAGGGTTTAGCGAAGTACTGGTGGGAACAAAAAGATAAGAGTTGAGCTTGTACGTACAAGTACAAACCTGGCCTGATGGTCCTCATCCACTCGGATGTACTGGTATGAATCGCCGCCAGAGATCCACATTATGAAACCGGCCACCGTTGGTACCGTACATACGAGTACCAGTACAGATACAATACTCTGTACTTGATGAAGCGCAATATTTTTCCAGACGCTTAAATCATGGGTCTTCTCACCCAATAAGCAGGAATACCCAGTACCGGTAGAGGCATGTGCGGCTCTTCCCTTTAGTCGCATGTCCGCCGGTGTTTCAGGTGGTTGCCGATTGGCAGCGCGTAGATTTTTCTAGTTCACCTGGTGACAAAAGTGATGGCCACCCATCCACCTCAGCTGGTTCCAAAGCGCCGAGATCTGTGACTGCATACATTATTGAACGCCTCGAAACTGCCAAAGTAGTTATGTAGTAGGACATTCTTGTCTGTGTCGACCGTTGTTTGCTCCAAGCCTCTTTCCTTCAACAGTCTCGTATGCCTAAACTCTCTTCGCTGGCTTT